GAAAAACTATAGAAAAACTATAGAAAAACTATAAAAAATTTAAAAAAAATATAAAAATTATAAAAACAAACTATAGGAAAACTATAGAAAAACTATAAGAAAACTGTAGGAAAACTATAAAAAACTATAAAAAAACAAAAAAAACTATAGGAAAACTATGGAAAATCTATAGAAAATCTATAAAAAAATTTTTAAAGTTATATTTATATAATAAAACTAAAAAAATTATCAAAAACTATAAAAGTTTTGCAAAAAAACTATTAAACAACTATAAAATAACTATAAAAAATTGCAAAATATAAAAAACTACAAATACTATTTGACAATTATAAAAAACTATAAAAAGTTTTGTAAATAAATTATTAAAAAACTATAAAAATTTTGCAAAAAAAGTTATTAAAAACTATAAAATAGCTATAAAAGATTGCCAAATATAAAAAATTACAAATATTATAAGATAATTATAGAAAAACTATTTAAAAATTTTTGTAAAGAAATTATCAAAAAATTATAAAGTTTTGTAAAAAAGTTATTAAATAACTATAAAATAACTATAAAGGATTGCAAAATATAAAAAACTACAAATACTATTAGATAATTATAAAAAACTATAAATGTTTTGTAAATAAATTACAGTATTAAATTAGATAATATAAAAAAAACAATAAGGTTTTTAAAAAATCTATTAATAAATATAAAAACTATAAAAAATTTTATTTATATAATAAAATATAAAAATTATAGTAAAATTGTAAAGTTTTATTAATATAACTAATATTAAATAACTAAAGAAACTTAAAAAAATTGTGCAAATAATATTAAATAACGGAAAAACTATAGAAAAAGTATAAAACATTTTGCAAAAATCTAGTATTTATAGGAAAATTTTAAAAGTTTTATTTAAAAAGCTATAAAAACTATTAAATAGTTATAGGAAAATGAAAAAAATATAAAAACTGTACAGTACAAGTTTTTTAATATACAGGATATAAATATAAAGAATATTGCTAACTTGCCTCCCTTTGATTTAACCACCCACAATTTACCAATCATGTCACAGGATCCTGTGTAACAAAATAAAGAAATTTTTTAAAAAAATTTAGAAAAAAATTAAAAAACTAACAATATTGTAAAATTTTATTACAAAAACTAGTTATAAGCTATTAAGTAAAAGTTTTCAGCACTTAATTTTGCATATAAATAAGCTGTATGTTAACTTAATATAGCTAGTATTCTAACTTTAATCTTTAAAAAATATTTATTTTTATAAAAAAATTCTATAAAAAAGGGTGGTTAAAAATTTTATAATTTTAACCAGGGGTTAAAATTAGTTAAATTCAAATATAAAATAGCTAAAAAAAATACCAAATATATAATTTTTAGGTTTAAAAATATATTAGGCCATATAAAGTTAATTAATTGTTTCTCATAACCCGGTCAGTTAGCTTTTGTAAATTTTCAATACAAAATTTTATAAGTTATTTAGTATAAATACTTCCAGGTGGGTTTTTAATAAAAATTTTTATATGTTTTTAATATTTTCTAGAAAAAGAAAAACTTATAAAATTCTTTACGATTTAAAAATTAAAAGCTAGGCGGACGAGTCACTTCTAGAATTCTACGTTTTGAGAAACAATCATTTAATTTTGTATGGCCTTATATTTAAAAAATTATATCTATTATATTTATTTTAAGTTATTTAAATATATAAAAAGTTAATAATAAGTTGGAAGCTATATAAAGAATTAACAATATATTTAGCTATATTTAACATATATAAAGAATTAACAATATGTTTAGCTATATTTAATATATATATAAAGAATTAATAATATGTTTATCTATATTTATATCAGGAATAATGCTGAAACCGGCTAATACTAAACTTAAATCCTGATTTAAATCTATAATACTTACTAAAATTTATATATACTTTTTAGTAACAATACTATCCCTAGTCTAATCTTAAAAAACGCTAACAAAAGACTAAAATCTTTTAAAATTTCATAAATAAATCGAAATTTCATTATTATTCCTGATATTTAATAATATAAATATACTGTATAATAATAATTAATTGTTAGCTTATCTCAAACTATATAGCTTAAATAATATTTATAAGAGTAATATTTACAATTTATAAATATAATATTTATATGAGTATTATTTTAAAATTTACAAAAAAAAAGTATTAGAGTATTGTTATTAAATCTACAAATTTCTATGATCTAAAAAAAAAATTATTTAATTAGTTTAAACAGTTTTAAATTATATAAAATTTTTATCTAAAAAACTTTATTTAGTTAGCTTAAACGGTTTTAATCAATTTTTGCTAAGTAAAAATAAAATAATAAACCAAATATTATAAATAGTAGGTAAATTATATTGGGTAAATTGTTATTAATCATTATAATAAAAATTTAAAATAATAGATAAAACATTATAAATAGTAAGTTGATTATTATTCATGATAAAAATCTTAGATAAAGTCAAGAATAGTTAAAATCGATTATTATTTATAATAAAAATATTAAAAAGTCAATGAATAGTAATATAACCAAAATTCATTTAATTATTTTTCAATAAAGCTAACCTATTTGCGACAAAAATAGTAATAAATAATAATTAAGATTCATTTAAGTAATGTTAACGAATAATAATTAAGATTCATTTAAGTTATCAACGAATAATTATTAAGATTCATTTAGATATTTCAATAAACTCTAACTTTTTTGCGACAAAAATACAAGAGACTATTTTAAATAATAGAGCAAATGGATAATAATTATTAAAAAAAATGGTATATTTATGTTCGTTTAATCCAAGCTATTTTTTAGCTTAATTAAAAACTTTAACGATGAAGTCTTTACAGCCATCCTCATCTACTTCCAAAATATTAACGACTAATATTACTTCAATAACCTGTTCAATATGTAAAAAAGTTTTAAATCAAATCGTGGTTTATCCTTACACAACTCTATAGTTCGAAAATATAATAAACACAATCGATTTAAAACTTTACCTAAACACACTGTATTAGAATTTAAAGAAATAATAGTATGGTCAATTCATCACAAGCTTTCTTCTAACTTTAATAAAATGGGAAAACAAACTATTTCACTAGCTTGTACCGAAAGTTATTTCTATACTATTTTTAAAGGCCATATTCACTATTATTCACAAAAAAAAAAATATTACAAATATATTTTTCATGGACCGTTAGCATATACAATTTTAGCAAAAATTTTTAATACAAAAAAATGGGGTCAAAAATTATATACACAAAATCAACAAACATACGTTGTACTTGATAGTTATAATGAAAATGATGAAATAGATCCTTTAATAGAATTAGCAAATCGAAAGCAATCTATTTATAAAAAAAAAATCTAAATTACAGCGTGGAGAAATTTTAGTTGAGTATAAACAAAAAAAAATTAAAGACGAAGATAGTATTTTTTGTTCAGGATTTATCTATATCAAGTTTTTTATTTCACAAAAAAGGATATAATTCTATTTTATATAAATTTTTTTAGGCTTTTTAATTTTAGAAGATGTTTCATTGTATGAATAATAAAGTGTTCTATTTTCATATTCTAAAATTTCTAAAATTGCTGATTTTCTTTTTTGTGGATGTCCGCCATTTTTTAATGTTTTTTTTAAAAAATTGAGATACGTGTTGATGATTTTTTTTTTCTACAGCTGAACAAGAAAAAGCTTTTAAACCCTATTGTTGATGTTTTTGAAGTAATTCCCAACCATGATATACAAGCATATGAATATATGGTGTTATATGACTTGGTAAATATAATCCTTTTATAATTTTTTGATTATTATTAGGATCTTTCATATCTGCTATTAAAAATAATTCTAACCATTCAAAAGAAGCTTTTTTAAATTGCAAAGGATTAGTTTTCTTATCTTGAATTGCTTCATATAAGTCATTAAAATTATCCCATAATTTTCTAATAAGATGTGCTCGTGATTTAGGAAAAAGAAGCTCTAAATTAAAGTATCGTAAAACTTTAATTTTATCATCTCCCATTAATGAGGTATGTTTTCTGGCTCCTGAATCTTTATCTTTCCAAAATAAAAAAGGATCGTGAAGACGTTTCATTTCATTTATAATGACATTACATGTTAAATCATTGTAAAGATTTTTTTCTTTAATTTCAGCTAATACTAAATTCCAAAGACGATCTGTTATTCGTAATAAGACATGTAATTCATCAAATACTATATTGTCTATAGAAATCATATCAAAAAGTGGCGCATTTATATGTCCAGGGATATCTTGATAATTTTCATTAATTGTATCTATAGTTTTCGTTATTCTCCAATCTTTTGATAAATCTCCATGTTGTTGTTTTGAACATAAACATCACGGGCAAAAATAAAGAGAATTGGCTGCATTTAATCCTAAACATATAGCTAGAAATTTCCAATCAGAACTAAAATATAATTGAAATTTCTAATGAATATTAACAATAATTATTCCATCTTCTTTTATAGACCATAAATCATTAAGAAATTGTTCCATTATAATTTTGAGTATATTATAGTCTTCAGCACCAGAATATAAAAGTACAGTATAATTAATGGTTATCCAGATTATGATGATGATCTATATCGTTTAATATCATAAAAGTTACCATAACATGTTTTATCTTGCATCCAACATTTTTACCATCCCCTGAAATACGCAAATGAATTGTAGAAGAGCTTGAAAGAGTGCCATTATCTTTTAAAAATGGTATTACATAAGCAAGTATATCTTTAATATTTCCTTGAGCTCCTAATTCTAAAATATTTTTAGAATTAGTAATATTTTCTTCTATATTATCTTCTGATTCGTTTATAGTTTCTAAATTATTTTTCAAAGATTCATTATTACTAATAACTAATGTTTTGATTTTTTTATTCATTTCTTCAGTTAGAGCTATTCTTGCATTAAATATTGCATATTCTCGAGGTATATAAAAATTAATTGCTGCAAGATCTCAATAAGCATCTCGTGAAATTTGCCCCTGATCAATTGCTTGTACTATTGCTAGATAATTTTCTTTCTCTTTATTAAAATCGACACGAAAATTATGTTCATTAACTGAAAACTCTAATGCTTTTAAAACTACTTGATCGTTTTTATGATAAAATTGTGTTGCTTGAAATTGAAATATTTGATTTATTAATTTACCGAATTTACGAGCACGCTTTTCAAGTGTTGATTTGCTGCATTGATTTATAGGTTTTAATCATCTAACTGTTTCTCGTGCAATTTTAACTGATTCTAATTGTAGTCCAAAAAAATATGAATCTGGTAATACGAAATCTTCATTAAAACCAAAAGCCTAATAATAATAAATATATTAATATAATACTGTATATTTTATAATAAATATTATTGAATAACGGTAATTTGGCAATTGAATATACGTCACTTTGAAATATGTATTAGTTAATTATTTGTAAATTACTATTTTAACAATTCGTTTAGTATTAGTATTATCTAGAAATTCATAACTATAATTTATAGAATATAGTAGAGTTATTTACTAATTTTAATTTAAATAAATATAATTACAACGTAATTTAAAATATAAAATATTTTTATGATCATATAAATTTGCTAGATAAAGTGTTATATGTATTATAAAAAAACTTTTAGTTTTTTATATAGCTTATTATAAACTTACTTGTCTAAGATTAAATATAGCATCTGATACTGAATGGCTTATTATTTGATTTTCAAAATTTCGACCATATGATATTTTAAATCAAGGATTTTTATTTATATAATTTATTTCATTGTATATAGTATAGCATTTTTTATTCCACGTGTAAGATACTTTAAGTGCATAGTTATTTGGAATTTTATAAATTTGAGAGCAACGCATATAGGCTAGTTCCTTTGGATAAAAACCTTCTTTTTCAATAATTTAAGTAAGATCATATTGTATTTGATTATTTAGTTGTTCTTTATAATGTATCGTTTTCTTTTCAGGATAACATGAGATCTCTAAGATTTTAGCCATCGTAAAAAATTATTATAATATTTTAAGAAATTTTTTTAATATTTATATAATAAAATAAAGTATAATAATAACTATAGAGGTTTGAATAAAATAACGGATTTAATTTGTAGTTACAAATAATTGTTATAGTATTGCATATTAACAATAATATCATATCGAATCTTTTTAACTCATTAATTCAAAATTATAACAATTAATTTAATATTGCTCTATTTGTATTATAACAATGTAATTAATAAATTTAATATTATATAACTTTAAAGCTGTTAAAAAGCTTGTTAGACTCAGTCTTTAAATCAATCATATACGAATATTTAAAACTGACTCTGTTATTACAAACAAAGACAAATTTAAGTATTTTGTTCTAATTTATAATTAGAAGGGCATTTATATGATTAGTTAATTTATAACAAAATTATCTGTTATCGATCAATATTAATATAGTATTATATATTGTGCATTATGCACATGCTTAATTGAGAAATGACTTTTATTAAAGTCTCTATTTACAAGGTTTAGACTAAAAATATTAGACTTTTAACAGCTCTAATTGACATATCAACTACTTATATTTAATATAACTAAATCTATTTAATGCTTTTTTTATATTAAATAAGTAAAATAACTCAATTTATTAATTGTAGTATTAAAAGCTAATCTAATACGTAATATATTAACAACTATTGCTATAATATAATATTTTTAGAGTAAAGCCTTTAGATAATAGCTTTACTTATTCAAGAACTAGTATACATTAAATTTGAATTGTTTTCTTGAGTTTTTAACAATAATAAATAAGAAAAATAAGAAGATTTATTGTAATTTTAGTTATGAAATAAAGATACATGGATAAGTATATAAATGTAAAAATTAGTTATAAGCTATATAATTAAATATTGGAAAGTTTAAATCAATAACAGCCTAATATTTATTAGAAATTGTCTATATTAAACCAAGAATATAATTTTTTTAATTATTATATATATATTAATTTGCGATTTTATAAGTTTACAAAATCATGTGACTTTATAGATATCATAATTGTTTTAATACCAAAATTAAGCGTTTAATAGATTTATTATAAATAAATTTTTACTTTTAGATATTATATTTATTAACTATTTATATAAAGTATAGGATATTAATAAATTCGATCTAGTAGTATAACTAGTAATACATACAGTACAGTATTATACAATATTTCTAATTTCAATATATATATATTAAAGTCATATAATATTATAATTTTATTTAACATTTTTTTATAAAACTTCAACATAGTGCAAAAAGAGTCAATTTAAAAAAATATTATTAATAAACTGCAAAAATAGTCACATTGTTATTAGTTATTTTATAAGCACATGATTTATTAGAATCTTAAAAGATATAATACGGATAATAAAAGTTTTAATTAGCTATTTAATTTTGAAAAAGCTTTAAAGAGAATATTTTGAAAAGAGCTTTTAAAAAGAATATTAACTAAATTATATTTTAAACTGCCTAATATAAATTATTTTATAAACTCTTAGACTATTACTTGATTTATCTATTATTAATCATGTGATAAATATTGTGGATTTAGATCACGATTGTATTGATATGTAAATAGTTAAATAATATACATATATCTATTAAATATACTATAGTACCAATTCAAATTTGTAATCTTTCAGAGCAATCTAATTCAACTAAACAATCTTATACAATAACTTATATTATTAAATATTTATTAAAAAGGTATGTTATATTGCAAGTATAATTTAAAACATTGAATTATTAATATTTCATTTAATCTTATTCAAATGCCTATTAAAAAAGGTATATTATATTTGAATTAATAATGTAAGTTTTTAATTCATTTATACTTTCGATATAACAGACTTTGATATATTAGATTTATAAATAAACTTTATGATAAATTAGATTTTAAAAATTTTTCACTATGTAATATGTGCCAAGATATTATGGGCAGCTGTCAATAGAAATCAAGCAAATCTATATTTAAAAAAAAAATAATGCCTTAACTTTCTCAGCTCATATCTCGATGAATTCTAAAGCTATCTTGACGATTTAATATTTAAAAAGAAAGCTTAGATCATAAGGTTTCGTTTGAATATTAATTATCAAGATAGCTTTAAAATTTATCGATATATGAGCTGTGAAAGTTAAGTTTTTTTTTAAATATAGATTTGCTTGATTTCTATTGATGGCTGCCTATATTATATTGAGAGTAATATATATTTATTATCTAGCAAGTATATTAAAATAATTTGGTTTTCATATTATTATTTATTATAAATTGTACTATTAGTGATTTTATATCTATTATTATTTATTATAAAACATACTTTGTATCTATTATATTTATTATAATTTATATATTTTATAAGTTTTGTATATAAAATTTTTAGTATAAATTTTTTATATCATGTTAGTATTTAATATTAAAATTAAGGTTTAGAAAGGGTTTTTGAAATATAAAACATATTTATAAATTATATATAGAAATTTAACTGGCAATAAAATTAATATATATTTTATATTAATAAATACTATATTTTTTTTTATAACAAATTATAAATTTTATATTTTAAATTAATAATTTTTTTGTTTTTTATTATAAAGTTAAATAAAACGATTACAATTTTTTAATATAAATTTTTGCTATAGTATATATAATAGATACAAGTTTAATCTTTTTAAGCTACAGTATACGCAAATATAATATAAAAAAAAAATATAAAATAGCTTCTAAATTTTAAATTGTATATGTTATTAGGTTTTAATATAATCCTAACATTCTAATATATGTAATATATATATATCAATACTATGTATAGTAATTGTATTTGTCAAAAAAAATTTTACTGGATATTATTAAATTACTTAATTATCTGAATAATTTATTATAAGCATATAATAAAATGTCTATCTAGATATATAAATCTCTAGCTATGCTATAAAGTGTTATAGTACTTTTTGATAATAGTACTTTTTATAATCGCTCTTGATAATTCTATAAAGTTTTAAAATTATTTTAGCATACTCACTTTAGATAATTTTATAGAGTTTCAAAATTGTAACTGCTAAAGTTAAACTAGTTTCTAACAGGAGATAAACTCATTTTTTAGAGTCTACTAGGCAGCCCCAAAGTATAGATAATGGCATAGCTGTAGCTAATAATGTACCAATCAATATCAATTTTAATAACTAAGATAAAAAAGATCTAGTACGTATGGCTTGATATTATTGAATATTTTTTGCTACGTATACTATTAATTCACTCTAGTTAACTCTATTTTTAACCTGGTTTTCTGAATACATATACATTTCTATATTTAAACAATAAATATTAGTAAATGATAATTGGAAAATATTTTTATATTTGAACAATTGATATTAGCACAATGCTTATTAGAAATGCACTTTATATTAAACAATAGATATTAGCGTGCAATTATTAAAAAATTATTTATATATTCAACAATAGATATTAATTAGTTAGAAATGCACTTCTATATTAAACAATGAATATTAGCACAATGATGATTGGAAAACAAATTGATAATTTTCACCCTGGTCGCATATTAATTAATTTAACATCATATTTTAGAACAATACGTAGTAAATTAATTAATAAATACTATATATGTATGTATATAATAACTATATTTTACTTTTTTTAATGTATTCGGGAGTAACAAGTTTAATATATTGATGTAATATGAATTATATTGTTATTATTATTATATATCTATTATACGTATAATTTTTTAGTTACTAAAATTTGAGGTTCGTTTTGTATATACTATATGAAAATTTGGGGTTCATATCAAGGCCCAATTCCGCAAATTCGCCGATATGATAAGCATTCAAATTAAGCAAATAAATAATAAAATTAAGATTTAAGCTATTGCAGTTAATCTATTGTCTGTGACTATTTTAATATTATAAAAGGCAATATACTTAAATTAAGATTTAATAACATAAAAGATAATTAATAATTAATCCGTGTTAGCAGTATTGTTTGTTTATAGTTATAAATCTACCTAAAGCATTGTTAATTAACTGTATAAATCTTAAATATTTAATTAAAGTATCTTCAAAAAAAAATAACTCTTAATTAAACCTTATTTTTAAAAAGCCAACTCTTAATTTTAAAACCTTTTAAGTTAATCAACTTAGCTTAAATAGATAATACTGCGTTAAGGACTACCTTTTAGAGTTAAGACCATATACTGCCTAAGACTATATACTGCTTTTTAGAGTTAAATCATAGATTACTATTAGGGTTAAGGACTGCCTTTTACTTTTAGGATAAAGTCACATGCAGCTTATAGTATTTGGCTTTTGGTGAATAAAGTCATGTAATTAAATGCAAACTATTCTTATTTCTAAACCAGATACTAATACCAAAAAGAATATTAGCAGTGCACTTGGATCTACTTATCTTACTATTTTTGAAGAAATATATACTTTTTTTTAAAAAAAGTACAAGGTTTATACTCTTTACTATTACCCACTTTGTCTACAACAAAATTTTTGAAAAAAGTAGGCAAAACAGCTTATCCCCATCAAAAAATTGGTATTGTTTACTTCTTTCAAATTTGGTCAACCCAGTAAATTGCAACTACATGTTTTGTTTGGTAATAAATACAACATTACTCTACCTGACAAGGCCCATTGACTAGTCCTCGGTTAAAGACTTATCTGGATTTGGTTGTATAATCAGAAAGAAACCAATATATTAAAGCAAAGTTTTACAATAGAGATATACAAATATTGCATTTGTTATATAATTTTTTAAGCCTTGTACAGATTACAA